TAGTACACTTCCCCATCCTAACTAAAGAACCAGGGAACAGCTTGGTGGTGGTCTCGTTTGAACCTCCCAACTGACCTTCCTTTGTTCTCTCCTTCAGCGCTCCCTCCGAGTCCCTGAGGCTGCGTCCTTCTTAGAGCCTCTTGTACCACCCAGCAGAACCGGGCTTCCTGGAGAAGCTTCAGTTCACTACCGGAGCTCTCGGATCCCCTCTAGTTGAGCCCTGCCTGCATTCAGACTCACACATTTTCCCCTACGATCCGGGTTTTTGACAGGTCCAACAACTGTAAGTACAATGCAAACTGGGTGTATATATAGAAAAAAAGGATAATTCAGAACAGAAAATAGCCGATGGATGGTGACAATGGAAACAGGAAGAATGTTAAGAGCTCGGCTAAGAAACAATAAGGCAAAAAGGTGTCCACAAGGTAACAATAAAATCAATAATTGAGGCCCATAAGGTCAATATCAACCATTAATCTCGCTTCTCCACCGCGTATCTGTCATCCTACCTCCCGTCCCGTCATTCCATCCTCTTCTCCTGATCCGTCGCTGTCCTTAGAGCTCAAAATTGTGTGAATTGGTGGAAAATTGGTGGAGATATGGGGGAAATGGTGGATAAGAGTGAAATTTGGGGAAGTGGCAATATGAGTCTTGAGAAAAAAAGCATGGAAAAAATTGGAAAAAATGTGAAAATGTGCCGTGGGCATTAGGAATGTGTCGGAGGCTTGAGGGTGCTCGTTGGAGCCTCGAAAAACATGATTCTGGCCTCATTTGAGTGGTACTTGCTGTGCCCTCCTACAGTGTCAGGTCCCAGGTAACATCTGTAGACTGTTATATGGTGGTGCTTGGGTCCTACTGGCTCATCCCTCCTACAACATGCACAGGAGTATACAGTAGATCTCGACTCTCTCCACCAATCCCTTTGTGAGGAGATGCACCACACTGTAGGCAGGATAACCTACTATACCCTTCACTACCAGAAATTTTGCGTTATATGTTCCTTACTGGTTCCCTGCATGCGAGGACCACCTGCCAATGCTCATGGAGGATAAACTGATTTTTTTCATTTTTTGGAGTACAATTTCACATAAGGTGTTAGTACTGAATTGCTTCAGCCCAGATTTCACCTTTGGCACTACTGGTTGCCAAGAGACGAACAATGGCTCATAAAATAGAGAAAAATAAGAAACGTGGGTCTGCCAAGTTTCATCCAGATTGACCCAGTCATTGTGAAGTAACAGTGGTGATGATTTCTTACCTTGTGTCAGGGCACACACCCTGACTAGCCTGGACCCAGACCTGCATGTGCGCTCCGCCCCACATGCTCCATGTGCTGCATGCTCCGGGCCTGGTTCCCATTCCTCATGTGACTTCTGGGTATCCCTGGAAGTTTTTGCCATATTGGGGCCACTGTGGGAAAGTGAGAAGTTAACCCTCTTCTCACTTTGTTACCCACAGTAGATTGTGCCCTGGACAGGGCTGTTTACAGGTTAGGCTGTGGGCCATAGAGAGGGGTCATGGCTGGGGTTTGTCCCCTGACACCTTGCCACAAGGTTCCACACAATGTCAAAAGGCATGTGAGGGTGGCAGTGTTGAGAGTCCATGCAGTGGAGCTGAGATCCATACTTTGGGAGATGGCAAAACTGGTTTTCAGCCCAAAATGGGAATCACAACCTGTACTGAAGTAAACAAACTCTCAAAATGCACTCTGGAGTGCTCAGAAAAATTCAGATTGGCCTGAAAGACAAAGAACTGAATTACTTATTGCTGAGTCATGTCCTAAGTCCATTATTAAGCTTACACAGCCCAAGCCCCTATATCATTCTAGAACTATCTATAATACAAATGTAGCATGTGTAACTAGTGAAAGGCATGGGAGTAGAGAGGTCTCTGAAAAGCATAAAAGGCTGCCACTTCTGCCCCCTCTGATACCTCAGGTAGAAACATAAGTTTAATTCTCCTCACCAGTGGTTAGTTCATTTGCTCCAAAAGATAAAAGCAAATATTAGTTGTTAGCTAATATAAAACTAACACATCACTCTAAGCGCGAGTTAGGGTCAGTTAGACACAGCTGAACAAAAGTGTCATAGTGAGAATTAGTGAGAATTTGGTGGAGGGACTTCTTAATTGAATAATCTCTCATAATATTTGGTTATCACACCACAGGAGAAAAGTGAGTCATCCTGAACCTGCTAGATAACTAGCACGCACTCTAAGCGATAGAAAGAGCAGTTTGGTCACTCCTGTATTGAGTAACATTTATTATGGAATTATTTTATTAGTAGTTTTTCTTCAGTAAATTATCAGGAAAATCATGTCCTGCTGGAAAGTGGTATATCTAGGTGTAATATTGACTAGAAATTATAGTAAAGTCAAATAGAATTTTATCTGTAGATGATCTATACATCAGGTGAGATTGTTGGGGGGTGTTTATTATTGTTTAGACAGTGAACAATTATCGGTCAGTAAGCAAATCAGCACAAACTCTAATATCGTTATTGGATGTAGGAAAAGGTGATCCAGCTCCACTCCTTCAATGGAGGTGGGAGGTCATATCTTGGCAGAGGTTGCCCAAAGAGAGTTGGAAGGAGAGGAAGGTTGTTAGATATGGCAAGTTCAAACGATTCTGGAATGGAACCAGAGACTTAGCATGGAAGGACCTCAGCCTCAGTGACTCAAGTGGAGCACTGTGCCATTGCTGGTTGTCCTGGGGGTCCCTAATTTCAGATCTAGTGAAGGGGAAGTCTGGGGAATCAAGTCAATTTTGGACTGAGGTTACAAGTTACTAGGTACATTGTATATAAAGGAGGGGTCCGGAATCAAAAGGAACAAGGGTAGTCTGAAAGGAGACAAAGGGAGCTGGAAGGAGGAACAACACTGAGGGTCAAGGGTTTGACTCAATGGTGTCTCCCAAAGGAGGAGTGAAGGGCCAAGGCCCAAGGAGGAAGGAAGAAGGATGGGAGTTGGGAATGGCTAGCTGACTGAATAGAAAGGAAGCAGCAGCCCAAATAGGAATGAGGGAGAATAGCAGAATTGAATGGGACAATGCAATAGTTGCAAGGTCCAAAGTAAGTCCAGAAAGTCTGAACTCGGAAGTCAAACTCCGGAATATTGGCAAAGGTAAATAAATGGAATCAGCTAACCAATACAATGGGTATAAGCAGAGGTGGGGTCAAAGTCCGAGGTCAGAGCTAAGACCAGAGTTCTGAGATGGAAATGCGAATGGGATTCTGGAGTGGAGGTCTGGAGTTGGGAGCATAGTTGCATACTCATCTGGAAGGTGTTGAGGTTGAGGTCAGACCCCCAATGGTCCAGAGTCGGACTGAAGGTGGTGTCGGAGCCAGAGGTGGGATAACCTCTTGGGAGTCAGCAAGGAGAAGGTGATGGAAGGGAAGTGGGGCTCCAGAGTCAGTTTCGGAGTTCTGGGAGCCCAGAGCAGAGGTTGGGATTGTATGGATATGACATACACTATCCTTCCTCACTCAAAACTCAACTAATTTTGATAATATTGGAAAGTGCTGAAGTGGAGCAATGTAGCAATGTAAATTATGTAGGGTATGGATCAATTTTAAAAAAGTGTCCCACCATGCTTTGGTAAGCCAAATAAATGCACATGGCTTTTTTGGCTTTTGACCATGGCAAATTTTGGTGTCAAAGGCTTGGTATGGATGGATGGATGTATACATCAGTTTGTTTGCATTATGGGCCATATTTTTTAATTTACTTCATTTGGGACACTTTTTTGAGACTGATTTATACCCTACCTAACATGCATGGTTACATTGCCACACTTCAGTGCTTTCCAATAGAATCATTGAAATTGGTTGAGTTTTGAGCAAGAAATGAGATGAAAGATAAGGTGAAAATTTTTGAATTTTCCTCTTGTAAATAGCAATAAACAAGGTGCTGATTTTTGTAAACACAAAAGGTATATGAGGTCTTTTGGAGCAATGACAATGGCCATCTTACGCACATTCACAGCAACATATATCCATATATATGACCATGAGCCTGAGTCTTGACCCAGGCCTCCTCCCTGGCCCCTGCCCACTCCATGATGTAGGTCTCCACTACCATACAAACCAGCCCAGAAATCACAATTCTGATACCCTGATGAACACCCTGTACCTGATACACCTTATACATGGTCCCAGATACCCTTTCTACCCTTTCCCTATTTTTTTGGTGCATTTCCAGCCCTACAGTCGATTCCCATGCCTATTAACATAGCAGCCACCCAATTCCAGGCATATCTCAGGAACCACTGGATGGATTTGGATAAAGTACCATTGGAAAGCTACAAGTGAGGAGAGTCAATTAGAGTGGCAGGGGAAGGTTGTTGGATGCTCAATTAGGAGGGATATTATTTTCATTGCCTTTATTTGTGTTTCCTTTCCATCATTTTCCTGGCCATTCTGCATTGCCATAGAGGCATATCTCTATTTGTCCCCTTTGCCCTATGATTTCTTACATATAGTGCAGATGGTCAAGAGGACTCCCCATGAGAAGGGACATCCCACCAAGTAGCAGTTTGTTGGGAGTCATCTGGAGTTACAGCAGATTGAGGATGGAAGGTCTGGGATATGACACTCCTCCTCACCCATTGACTTTTTGAGCAGATGGTAAAGAGTGAAATTTCAGATTCCATGGACAAATGCACTTGCATCTGTATATGAAATCATCATGGTTTTGAGCTACTCAGGAAGTGGATACAACTTATCAGTATGGTTCTGAAAGACTATTCACACCAACAGATCATGATTAGGTTCACATGAACTCACCTTGGACCCTGTGTAAATATCTGGCATCAAGAGCCACTTGGTTTGAGGAACCCAATTCTTGAATGAAATGTCCTTGCCACACAAACCATGTGTGTGCCTTCATCAAGCAGAAAGGTAAAGAGACTGTTGTGGTTCATTAGCATATTGAATGGCACCTAAAAGATTGAGCATACTGATTCAAATTCATTCCATGCATCCACAATGTCACTTGAAATCTCCTTAGTGGTCTGCTGGCAGCAGTGGATCCAGCAAATCATACTCCAGAGGGATGAATGCCTTTTTGATGTACTCAATGAAGGGAGTTGTAAAGATGTAAGGGTGACCACTCTCATCATCCAATGGAGGCACACCCTGGAGTTGCTAAATGAAGCCTCAATGTATATATACTCATTGACCCTGGTATTCCTGTGGAGGGCCACAATGAAGTCAAAGGAGGTTGGCTCATGTGAAATGCCTGATGCCATCAACAAGTCCAGTACATTATAGAGCAGCAGAAACCCCATTCTTCTTCCTGAAGGAAAAGCTGACATTGTGGATGGAGAGGATGACCATGGCAATTCATCATTTGGCAGAGATGTGAATGTGATCATGCAAGTGTTGCCTCCAAAAGCCTAGTTGATATTGAAGCTGAGGGAGCTATTCTCAAGATGTTTAGAGATGGCAACTAAAGATTGACCATGGAGACCACAATAGAACATGATGTCATCATAGCCAATAACTGGATAATCAGAAGGGCTTCTGGCACAGGTGCTACTAACCTAGGCATCTGAAGGGGTGAGGACATCCTAGAGGTGGTTCTGGATGGAAAATCTGTTACACAATGATTACTATGGGTGAAGCATGATAGAAACACTTTGGCACCTCTGCTGAAATGATGGTCCTGATCAATGAATCAAGTGATGAAGTTGGGTCAGAAGGCATCCAATTGCTCCTGGAGCTGTGATGAGGACTTTGCAGTTTTGGGTTTCAACAATGTCCCACAGAATTAATTACAGGGGAAGTTAGCATCTGATGTGGAATTAGAGAATATCAGACCAAGGAGCTCATTCTGCCTCTGAATGTACCTCCATAGATACTGATCACAGACATCATATTAGTCAGATGGATAGCATAAACTTATGGAAGCTGTGGAGTTCAAGGTCTACCCTGAAAAGGTGGTTGACTGTGAAGCCACTCCAGGTGTGGTATCAGTTTTGGTAGAGAATGAGGTGGAGGGCTACAATTGTGGCTGCCAGTCAGAGTCTCTCTTGATGGCAATGTCAGGGGACGATCCCTGGGTCCCCATGACCCTCTCTCTATGGCCCACAGCCCAACCTACTGTGGGTAAGAAAGTGAGAAGAAAGTTAACTTCTCACTTTCCCACAGTGGCCCCAATATGGCAAAAACTTCTGGGGATACCTGGATGTCACATGAAGACAGGATCCCGGGACTGGAGCATGCAGCGTGGGAAGTACCTGTGGGAAGTGAAGTGGGTCCAGATGCAGGTCTGGGTCTGGGCTAAGTCAGGGTATGTGCCCTGACAGGCAAGGAGTTGCTGGTATGGAGGGGCAAGCTTATCCTCTGATGGAATTGTGTCTTTATGAAATCAACAAGATTTCCAAGCCACTCCTGTGACTCAATGATATCTTCAATGATATTAAACTTGAATGCAAAGTTAATATTATGGACCAAGATGCTTGACAAGGTCCCAAATGTTGGCAGGCCATGTCTTTAATGTCTCCATCTTGACATGCTCACCCCTGCAGTCATTCAACCATGCCTTCTCTTCATTTAACTTTCTTAGCACAAGTGTTCACTAGCTTCACTAGCTTCTCAGGCATGTTATTCTATGTGAATTAATTATTATGCAAGGCTTGAAATTTATTATTTGAGGTATTAGAAGCAAAAGACTGACTGATGTTGGCCATCAATAATGTGACCCTGGTTGGCATTTGCAGCTCTGTGACCAAGCTCAGGTGAAAGGAATTGGGGGAAGGGATTTGTAATTGCTAGTGTTGATCCCTAGTTGTTTATGATCCAAGAAGTCCTAACAACTAGATTCCAGTGTCATAGGTGGTGCAGGCCTGAATAGTAGTAAACATCCTCAGTGATCTGCTTCACTGGGATGTTTTGGATCAGCCAGGCATTTTGGCCTCAAGTTGAACTCTCAATTGGTCACCATCATAAACCTCTAGTTCTCTCACTCCAATCAGTGCTTGCTTGGTGATCTGAGCACACTGCACTATCTTCTTGTCCAGACTCATCTGGATCCACTTTTCTGGCAACATCAGGTTGAACTGGTGACCCCTGATCAGACTCTCAACCTGTTGTGAAGATCCTAGTTCTGCTGGCATTTTTGAGATGGAGCCATACTTTGATCAGTGAGGGATCTGGAGATCTGATTAAATTCATCACAGATGATGTGGCAACTGAGTCACTGTCACAACACTGTAACAAGGCTATTGGCTGGATCCCAGATAATGGGGGACATGGGAAGCAGATACACTGGAAGGGCTAATCCATCAGCAAATCTGACAGGGAGGTATGAGAGCTCTGAGAGCTCATGGTTAATTCACCCAGTATTAAAATTTAAAATTTAAAAGCTTGACCATGGGGTCATGTGACAGGCAAATTCAAGTCCACCAACTGAACAAACTCTACTAAACTTTCAGCTCTGATGTGGCACTGGACACCAAGGGCATACAACCCAATGACCAAATTTAGGGACATAAATAGGGTTGAAATTACTTGGGGAAAATGAGGGAAAATGGATGGGAAAGAGGATGGAAATGGGGGAAATTGAGGGGGGATTCTAAAAACTTGAAAAGAGTCAGGGAAAATTCAGGGAAAAATGAGGGACTTTCTCCTTTCTTACTCAAAACTCAACCAATTTTCACAATTAAATGTGCATTGGAAAGTGCCAAAGTGGGGCAATGTAGCAATGTATGTCATTTGGGGTATGGATCAGTTTTAAAAATGTGTCCCACCATGCTTTGAGCCAAATACCCATGGCTTTTTGGCTTTTTGACCATGGGAAAGGCATTGGAAGTGGAAAGGGCACAATTCTGCATAACCAGAGGCTTATTTCAGCTTGTGATTGGTGTCAAAGGCTTGGTATGGATGGATGTATCATATCCATACAATCCTGACCTTCAATGCAGGCCTCTGGAACTCCAAAACCAACTCTGGAGCCTTCCCTTTCTATCACCTTTTCCCTGCCAACTCCCAGGAGGTTATCCCACCTCCAGTCTGACTCCAGTCCATTCTGGGTCTGACCCCATCCTTGACACTGCCCAAACATGAGCATGTGATGTTCCCACCTCCAACTCTGGACCTCTGCTTTTGGAATCCCATTTGCATCTCTGTCTCCAGAACCTCTGGTCTTAGCTCCATCTCTGGACTTTGACCCCACCTCCACTTAAATCCATTGTATTGCTTATCTCATTTCATTTAATGCCAATCGGACTTTCACCTCCAAGTCCAGACCTTCCAGACCTACTCTGGACCCTGCAGTCCTAACTGCATTGTCCTATTCAATCCTACTTATTTCCCTCATTCCTATTTGGGCTGCTGCTCTTTTCTATTCAGTCAGCTAGCCATTCCCCACTCCCCTTCCTCTTTGGGCCTTTGCCCTTCTGACCTCCTTCTGGGAAGCACCATTGAGTCAAACCCTTGACCCTCAGTGTTGTTCCCCCTTCCAGCTCCCTTGTCTGCTTTCAGTTCCCTTTGTCCTTGTGACTCCCTTATATACAATTACTTGTAACCTCAGTCAGAAATTGACTAGAGATTTCCCCCTTGACTTGAGTTTCCCTCCTTGAGACCACTGCATTAAGGACCCCCAGGACAAGTGGCCAAGGTCCTTCCCATTGAGTCTCCAGTTTACATTTTGGAATTTTTCATTCACACAACAACTCAATATCAAGAACATCCCCATTGGTGGAGATTTGGTGGAGTTATGTGTTGGAGAAGTTAGGCACAGCATGGGTCACAAGCATGTGTGGGCATGGGAATCTCAATTTAGGCAAGCAGCAAGCCTGCCTCATGTCAGGGGACAACTCCCAGGTCCCCATGACCCTCCCCTATGGCCCACAGCCTCAAGTCTAGCCAGCCCTATCCACACCCATGTAGCATGAGATTTAAGCTACTACAAGCATGCCTAGAACCTGGCATAGGTGTAGGAAAATATAATATTCAAAGAATATATCCCTACAACAAGAAAATAGCACATAGACGGCAGAATAAGAAGGAACATTGGGAAAGAAATGTGAATATCTTGGGAACCAGTAAACTTTTGACTGTAATCTTTCTACCATCTGAAAGGACTGTTTCTTAACTTTATCCATGGTTTTGTTTCATTCAAAACTGACAGAGATATTGCTCAAACAGCAAAACACCTTATAATTCATATATATTTATTTGCTAATTCTTACAAAAAGTTATGTGACTCAAGGGAAATATATTGGCACCTGGAAGTCTGGTGGACCGAATACCATATGGCAGAGTATCCCCCAGCATGGATGGACACTTTTTGATCGCGTCAGAAGAGGAGAAAATGCTAAAAAACTGGATCTTGTGTATTTTCCCATGATTCATCAAAACTTTTTGATTTTAAGCTCAAATAAATCGGAACAAAGGAATGATTGATGATCTGGATCTCGGATCATAAGCATAAAGTGATCCAGAAGTCCGTGGATCAGTTAATTAATTGGGAAAGCTCTAGAACATTGGTAATGATGTGGCTTCACAAAAAGGGGTGAATTAGAGAACAGTCTAGAAAGTTCCTTTATAGCCGAGTCATGTCTAAAGATAACTGTTCGTAATTAAGGCGGTGTAGAGCATAGCTTTAGCACTGCAAGACCCCGCTGAGATCGGCCCAACAGACAAAGAACTGAATTACTTATTGCTGAGTCATGTCCTAAGTCCATTATTAAGCTTACACAGCCCAAGCCCCTATATCATTCTAGAACTATCTATAATACAAATGTAGCACATGTAACTAGTGTGAGGCGTGGGAGTAGAGAGGCCTCTGAAAAGCATAAAAGGCTGCCGCTTCTGGCCCCTCTCAAACCTCAGGTAGAAATATAAGTTTAATTCTCCTCACCAGTGGTTGGTTCATTTGCTCCAAAAGATAAAAACAAATATTAGTTGTTAGCTAATATAAAACTAACACATCACTCTAAGCATGAGTTAGGGTCAGTTAGACACAGCTGAACAAAAGTGTCATAGTGAGAATTAGTGAGAATTTGGTGGAGGGACTTCTTAATTGAATAATCTCTCAGTAATATTTGGTTATCACACCACAGGAGAAAAGTGAGTGATCCTGAACCTGCTAGATAACTAGCATGCACTCTAACCGATAGAAAGAGCAGTTTGGTCACTCCTGTATTGAGTAACATTTATTATGGAATTATTTTATTAGTAGTTTTTCTTCAGTAAATTATCAGGAAAATCACATCCTACTGAAAAGTGGTATATCTAGGTGTAATATTGACTAGACATTATAGGAAATTCAATATAAAATTTTATCCATAGACGATCTATACATCAGGTG